TTCTGTGGGGTCACTGTGAGTTCACGGATAGTTAGTTTTCAGATGACGTTTGCAACCGCAGAGACGATTAGCATCCGATTGATGAAGCCTGAACTGTGCGCATAACGCAAACTGATTCAAGCTCGCAAACTCCCCTGGCCAAGGGAGGAGAAAATCGCCTGTTCACATGACAATGACGCAACACCATGATTTTATAACTTTGGTTACGTGATCTACAGATAGCACTCAAAGCACTCGAATTCTCTTGGGCTCATTGCTAAACACATGACTCATCCACTTTTCTGTCCGAACGTATTGACATTTTTTTCTTATAAATGTGATTGTTAGGGCTTGAAAAGGAATTCATCGAAAACATATGTTCACCTACATTTATTTTGTTCACAATCAATACAGCGTGATGAATGAGCATTATAGAAAAAACGCCACGTATATGCATATATCTCTTTATATACACAACGAGAATTTTTAATGGCATTGTCACAGCCGTTTAGCTTTTACAGGGCAAACTATCCTGAGTAGGCAAACGTCCAACGTGCAATTAATAGAGTTTTGTTGAGTTCATTTCTCTCCGTTCCTAGTTCACAATTACAGATCGACGGTGGAAGTTATAGAAATTAGGCAAAATGAAATTTTGATATCGGGATAATATATTTCGATGAGGCTTCAAGGACTTGTGTTCGTTCTCACTGAGCAACATTTGCTGCCACGTTACACGCCCATGTGTGGCACCGGAAATCCAAAATATTTCGTCCACTCAACTGATCACCTGCCAAGTGTGAAGTTGTCACAGTGAAGATAGAAAACATGTCATTTGTTGAACGCCTGCGGCCGACGAATTATTTTATTCACGGTTCACTTTGTGCGAATCAAAATGAATTTGTTTTGCACTCACGGCATCGTTGTCAATTGAGAATCACACAGATCGTGTAGAAAAGCACGCCTTACACGTTAAAACATATTGAGGTATAATGAAGCTTAGATTTACGGCATCTCCAATGAAGAGTTTTGGGATGTCCACGTTTTCATCTATAAGACTGCATTCCAACTCTGATGATGATGTTTGTTATGACCGAGAAAGAGCACTGCACAGCTGTTTCGTCTTGTTTGGGACTCGTCGGCAAAGCATACTTTTTGCGTCCCTGTCAAGACTCGAACAGCGAACATTCGGGTCGGGACTACAAACCCTTACCCCTGAGCTATCCGGTCGACGGTCATCACCTTGTACTAAGGGCTCAATCAATTAAGAGCATCAAGCTTGAATTCACCCATTCGGTTGTTCCGAGGCACCAGACACTCTTGATGGTCTTGGGTTTTACTCCTTGGGAGATCAATAATTCATTTGAATGCATTTAGCTCATGGAGAATTAACGATGTCCCAAGGAGTGAAACCAACGTGCAAGACCGTCAAGAGTGTCTATTGTCTCCCAACAATAGAATGGAATAATCCAAGCTGGATACTCTACATTGTGAATATTTTTCAGTGATTGCTACTCACCGAACCAAATATCAGTTGCCGACCACGAGGGCCGCCATACTCAGACTGTAAAGATGGAACTCAGTCGTTGTCACTGAAGGGTGATGATTTTCAAAGGTGCTTGCGAGCTGCCTTCGATGATTGCGCACCTTCAAGAAGCATTGTTCTCCCAAAGTTCAAAGGCATGATGCGTGGAATCTGATACAAATCACCAGTAGTTGCAGGGGAGGCCTTCATTGAACTGGTCGAAGCATTACCTGCGTCGGCATGGTCGAGCTGTTCCACCAAATGGTTTGAGTACGTGTAACTGTGCATGAACGCCGGCGAACAAAACATCGAGAAAACCCAATGCGTTTGTGTTTAATAAATAAAACGTTTTGTACATCCACAAACATTTTGTTCAAAATTTCGAAGTGCTTTAAAATCAATAGTTAATAATCCATAGGTGTTCCGGATCATTTCGAAAAATTTGGGCGTTGTGCTCATGGTAACAATAGAATCAGGTTTGTTTTTAGCCACAACGTGAATACCAAAACACAAGATTTCGGTGACAACGTCAGTCTGACTTGACAAAGGCCGTCCAAGAAGGTCGAAATGTTGTCACCGAAATCTTGTGTTTTGGAATTCACGTTGTGGCTAAAACAAACCTGATTCTATTGCTTTAAAATCATTTGCCATTTACGATAGCGATTATTTTTCAACT